TGAAGTCCCACCCTGGGGAATTCTGGGATTTAAACTCCCATGCTGGGGAATTCTGGGAGTTGAAGCCCCACACTGGGGAATTCTGGGAGTTGAAGTCCCACCCTGGGGAATTCTGGGAGTTGAAGTCCCACCCTGGGGAATTCTGGGAGTTGAAGTCCCACATTGGGGAATTCTGGGAGTTGAAGTCCCACCCTGGGGAATTCTCGGAGTTGAATTCCCACCCTGGGGAATGCTGGAAGCTGAAGTCCCACACTAAAGAATTCTGGGAGTTGAAGTCCCATACTGGAGAATTCTGGGAGCTTAAATCTCACATTGGGGAATTCTGGGAGTTGAAGTCCCACCCTGGGGAATTCTGGGATCTAAAGTCCCACCCTGGGGAATTCTGGGAGTTGAAGTCCCACATTGGGGAATTCTGGGAGTTGAAGTCCCATACTGGAGAATTCTGGGAGCTTAAATCTCACATTGGGGAATTCTGGGAGTTGAAGTCCCACCCTGGGGAATTCTGGGATCTAAAGTCCCACCCTGGGGAATTCTGGGAGTTGAAGTCCCACATTGGGGAATTCTGGGAGTTGAAGTCCCACCTTGGGGAATTCTGGGATTTAAACTCCCACGCTGGGGAATTCTGGGAGCTGAAGTCCACACCTCTGAAAATTCCCAAGGTTCAGCTGATGATCCTAGTTTGCGCAGGCCTTCCCACACCCGGGGATCATAATTTGGGGAGGGGGAGAGAAAAAGTGAGCCCTGTTTCTGCTGAGTTGGATTTCCTGTCCCCCCCCCAAATCTCTTCTCTGTTTTTTTTTTAAAGGGGGGGATATTTAGTTAGTTCCTTCCAGGCACTCCTGATCTTTTGCAAAAGGGTCTGGGGGCTTCCTTCGGCCATTCCAGGACATTTGGCAGGCAGTTGGGGGGGGCCCTGCAAAAAAAAAGCCCCTTCCCTCCCTCTGCCTTGCAGACACCCCCCCCCTCCCCTCGCTCACTAGGGGGAAGGTCAAGCCGCTGCTTGGAAGCCCCCTCCCCATTTTTATCTCCCCTCCTGCCCCCACCCCAGAAACCTCTCTCAGGCAGCCTGGTTACTCCTATGAGGCATCCATAAAAACTCCGAAGGGAGACGGACATCAAAGCGGCGGTGGGGGGAAAGGCATTTCTCCCAGTTTACTCAGAGTTTACTCTGGTGGTTAGGACTGGGGGTGAAACCAAGATTATCTTATCTGCGGGTCTTCAGAAGAACAAAAGGGGGAACAGCTGACTGGGTTAGCGGCCTCTCTCTCTCTCCCTCCCGACATTGTGAAAGGCAGGAGAAAGTCCAGATTAAGAAAGGGAGGTGGAGAGAAAGGCTAAATGAGTTTTCTCCTCCTTCTTCTTTCTCCTTCTTCTTTCTCCTTCTCCTCTGTTTGCAGGCTCTGCTCCCTTCTAACACTGATGATGTTCCCTAGTTGGGTCATGAAAGGTCTGTAAGGAAACCCCCGAGCTCAGGGCCCCCAAACATATCTCTCTCTCCTTTTCTTCCTCCTTTTTTCTCCTTCTCCTTCTCTTTTTCATTCTCCTCTCTCCTCCTCTCTCTGTGTCTCCTTCTTCTCTTTCTTTCTCCTCGCTCCTTCTCTTTCCTTCTCCTTTTCCTTCTTTTGCTCCTTCTCTCTCCTCTCTCCTTCTTCCCCCTTTTTCCTTCTCCGCCTCCTCTTTCTGTCTCCTTCTCTCTCCTTCTCTCTCCTTCTTCTCTCTCCTCCTTCTCCTTCACCCCTTCACTTTTTCCTCCTTCTCTCTCTCCGTCTCCTTCTCTTACCTTCTTCTTCTCTCTCCTTCTCTTTCTTTTTTCCTTCTCTCTCCTTCTCTTTCTCCTTCCCTCTCCCTCCTTCTCCTTCCTTCTCCTTCTCTCTATCCTCCTCCTTTTTCTTCTTCTCCCCTTCTCTCCCCTTCTCCTTCTCTCTATCCTTCTCCTCTCCCCTCCTTCTCCTTTTTCTTCTTCTCCAATTCTCTCTCCTCCTCTCTCCTTCTCCTTCCTTCTCCAACTCCTCTCCATCTGGATGGAAAAAGCCATACATGTAATCCTTGACTTACAACAGTTCATATACCGACCGCTGAAAGTTACAACGGCACCAGTAGTCACTTACTTATCCTACTGGTTCGCAAATGTGACACCACGACTATCTGTGCATGGACTTTGATTACACACGAGGCTGTTTTTCCTTTCTTTTGCTCTGTTTCCTTCTCTTTTTTCCTTCTTTCTCCTTCTCTTTCTCCTTCTCCTCCTTCTCTCTCTCCTCCTCCGTTTGCTCCTTCCCCTTCTCTCTCTCCTCTCCTTCTCCTTGTCCTCTTTTTCTCCTTCTTTCTCCTCTTTCTCGTTCTCTCTCCTTCTCCTTTTCTTTCTTTGGCTCCTTCTCCTCTCTCTTTCCATCTCTCTGTTTCCTTCTCCTTCTCTCTATCCTTCTCTATCCTCCTCCTTTTGCTCCTCCTTCTCTCTTCTTCTCTTTCCTTCTCCTTCTCTCTTCTTCTTCTTCTCTTTTTTCCTTTCTCCTTCTCTTTCTCCTCTCTCCTCTTTTTCTTTCTTTTGCTCCTCCTCTCTCTCCGTCTCTCTCTTTCCTTCTCTCTATCCTTCTTCTCTCTCCTCCTTTCCCTTCTCTTTCTCCTCCTCCTTCTTCTTTTGTTCCTTCTCCTTCTCTCTCTCCATCTCCTTCTCTTTCCTTCTCTCTCCTTCTGCCCCTTCTCCCCTTCTCTTTCTCCTTCTCTCTCCTTCCCCTCCTCCTTCTTTTACTCCTTCTTCTCCTCTCCTTCTCTTTCCTTCACCTTCTCTCCTTCTCCTACTCTTTTTCCCTTCTTTCTCCTTCTCTTTCTCCTTCTCTCTCCTTCTCCTTTTCTTTCTTCTGCTCCTTCTCCTCTGTCTCCATCTCTCTCTTTCCTTCTCCTTCTTCTTCTCTCTCTTCCTCCTCCTCCTCCTTTTGCTCCTTCTCCTTCTCTCTCCTCCCCTCCTTTTTCCTTCTTCTCTTTCCACCTTCTTTCTCCTTCTCTTTCTTTTTCCCCTTCTTTCTCCTTCCCTGAATTTTGACCACACGGC